AACGAACACAAAAGTACTGTATCTAAATGTTCTTATCAGATATTTTGCGGTAAGTGATTTTTCTTACCATTTTGGGGTAGCTTTGTGCAAAAAAGAATGAAGACCATTTATTTGCTATAAAATATGTCCGGGATAATGCCCAGTACTGCAATATTTGACTATAGTACGCCTACTAGTATTGCTCAGAAGCTGGAGACGCATTATACACGAGCTATATGAAAATCTCAGATTTGTTCCCAAAATTATATTCAGGAGTCGCACTATACGTGATATAGACTTAGTACACATCGTGTTTTTTATTTAATTTTGAAAAAAGATAAAAAATAATCACAATCAATTAGCCGTCCTGGGTATGACGATAAACTGCATCCGCGTCCTGGGTAAGACGATAAACGACGTGCAACAGCAAGGCTTTTGATAAGGAGGTTTTGAGGAGCGTGGAACCACCTTTTAATTGCTGATGTTCCCAGGTCCATCCTGACTCGGGGTGGTAGCACCTGTTAGGGTCCCAGCTATGGGCAAATAGTTAACCTCGAAACTGAGGTAAAAAGCCTTATGAAAGTGTAAAAATAGGTTTTAATACCAGAAATACTTTGTAAAAAATTAAAACCAGAAATAAAATTTTTGAAGAAAAAAAACTATTACCAGCAATACGTTTTCGAAAAAAAAATATATTACCGGCAATACATTTTTTAAAATAATATTACCAGGAAAAAAATAATGACCCATTGAGGTTGATATGCTGTAAAACAAAACAAACCAACCCAAACCAGAAACAATTGGTTGGATTTTTTTAATGAGATTTTATAACTGGTCCTAAGTATGGGGTTATTAAACAAATAAGTCGTTAAGTGAGTAGTGGCTGTATCAATAACTTCAATGTGCCGTGTTTCTTCAGGCGATCATTTCTCTCCACCATTTCCTGTCCTTTGTACCTCTTAGTAAAGTTTATATTTTTTGCTTCTTCTCATAATCCCTATTCTATCAAAAAGTTTCACAAACTTGGCAGGTAGATTATTTACTACTTTTCTCTATCTTCACTATGTCCTGTCAGTGTCAGATTCTCCAAGCCCGCTTTCCTCATATACTCAAGAAATTTCAACTCTCTTTCTGATTCTAAGTATAAGTGTCCTTTTTGTTTCCATTTCCGTAAAATTTTGTCGTTGTTCAATCCATGGTATTCTCATCATCCTTCTGTAGAACCAGATTTCTATTTCCTCAATCTCTTCTTCATCCATGTGGAGATTTTTCAGAATTCATTACCATATAGGAGTACAGATACTGCATAGCAGTTCAGTACTCTTTCCTCTGTTTCTAATTGCATTTTTCCTGTTTCTTAATACTTTGCTTAGCTTTTGTAAGGATATCTTTCACTATTCCGATGTGAATTCGAATTTCTGTATCGCATTTTCTTTCCTTTTTTTTTTTTGCAGTAAGTTTAACCGTGTACAAGGCTCGGGGGCCACTTGAGGAAGAGGGTTCCGTTAAGGGGTTGTTTATATAGCTAGGAAAGGAAGATAACGGTTAACTCTAGACATGAACAGGTTATGACTGTAGTGATCGGGGAAACGTCCATATGCGAACCTGTACCACAGGGCAGTAGTTCGCGGGAAGGAACTGTTTGAGTGGAATTTACTTCTCGCCGGTTGAAAGAGGCTGGCTTGCTGCAATGTAAGAGGCATGTCGGGTCTAACCCGTGAAGGCACGACCTGGTGGAACCATGATATTAGCGATAGAGCAGTGAGAGACTCGCCACATCTCGACTGTGAGAGAGAGGTTGGAGGTTAGAAAATATTTTTTCTCCAACAAGTACTCGGAGACGATTTTAAATTCTATCAAAACTGGAAAATGAGGTCTGGGCATCTCCCGCCCAAATATGACAATAGTATACCATTTTTGGCTTGATCTGTCTAAAAGTTAGCGGGTGTTATAGTGGAACACACCTATTCTATAGTTAATAGACTCTCCCACCTATAATAAGTAGGAGTAGTAAGAGTAACGAGTCGCTCAGTGGTTCGGTCAGTCAGTCAATGCCGGACGACCGTTAGTCGGATATTAAAGTATCAGCGACTGCAACTAGATTTCTCTGCGTCGTTACCTATTACATCAAGTTCCTAACGTTTTGTACGTCGAACCTATTTTAGGACCGACTTAGTACAAATACCAAGCCTCCACTGTGGGTAACATGAGGAGTCGGGTACTTACTGAAGCGATACAGGGAGTCGATCATTTTATCTGCATCTTTAGCGATGAATAGGATAGAATAGGAATTCCACTTGAGGTCGAGTGTAAGCTTGAGGCCCAATATGGTCTCAAGGCACAGTGCCTCCGTGAGGGGTCATCCGTTTATCGTGACTGTCGGTAGTTCGGGGTCTGATCGGTTGTTAAAACACTTCCCAGTTATTAAAATTTTTGTATTAGCTTGATTTTTGTGTTTCCAATTCGTAGTTGGGCTGTTACTTCGCTGACAACCATACATTCTGTCTTCTTACAATTGGTGCTTAGTCCTTTCTTCTCGCTTTCCTTTCTGTCAGTGTAAAAATAATATTTTGGAAGGGTTCTTAGTGTTTCTAGAAAGAGTCTTTTGCTACGCCAACTATTAAGACTTACTTTAAACCCTTTTTTTTTCTTTGGTTTCCTTTGCTTCTTCATCCACTGACAATCTGACCAAAATAAAGTAATGCTGTCATATCTGAGTTCAAAAACATCTACGCAGCCTTATGGGCGATGAATTATTGTCCACCCTACAACCCCTTTCCAACAGACAAAACGTCGCGAGCCCCTCGCTGCTCTGTTGTTATTTTCATAGGATGTGTTCTTAGGGGCTACATTCCTTGGTCATAACAGCCCTGACCTTTGCAACTGGGACCCACCAGGCCACGTACACAAGAGTGAATCATCCCCATTCCCTTCGTATTCCATTAGTAAGGAAGAATTTCCGATTGGATATCTTCTCCCTAAGAATTGCTTTTTGGTGGATCAGACTGCCAACAGGATCTGCTCTTTTCGAATCGTCCGAAAAAATCCTTTTTATTTGGCATAAGTATGGCTGATGCTAACCTCCAGGAGAATGAATCATTGCGTCTTCTCGGACTAATGTTTTCTGCTGACATGAAGTGGAAAGATTATATTGAATCCGTTGCTAGGTTAGCTGCTAGGAAAATTGGTTCACTGTGTCATGCTCGACAATTTATCTCTTCCGGATCTATATCTCTGAAATGAGGTATCATGATTATTTACATTATTTACATTATTCGAACAGTTATCCCCATCTTCATTGTCATATTCACAACGTTTCGGCCGTTGTACGCTCCACCCTTCTTCAGGTCCTCAAGGACATATGGCCCAGTGGATAAAGACTTGGGTTAAATCCAGTGACTAGACCCAAAATTTGTGAGTACAATACCAGGCTACAACAGTGGTGAACTAAAATCTTGGCGAGTTGAGTTAAAGGGAAATAACTGAGACATCCGGAAGAGGTATGACACGTGGAACTAGAACAATCTACCTCATTGGACGAAATAAAGGGTTCGGTTCGAAATTCCATTCACCTGAAGAAGGCCGGAGCAAACAACGGCCGAAATGTTGCAAATATAGCAATGAAGACAATGATAATAGTCCAAATAATGTAAATAATGTGAAGAATCTATCTTACATATTTAAAAGTCTACCATTCGTCCTTGCTTTGAATATTACTACCACATCCGGTCTGGTGGCCATGCTAGATATTTAAAGATTCTTGATAAAATCTAAAGAAGAATCTGCAATGTCATTGGTGAGGACCTGACATCTCGGCTTCAATCACTTTCCCATCACTGTAACATAGCTTTCTTTGTGCCTTTTCTATAAACACTTTCATGGTAATTGTTTTGATGAACGTTCTTCTAATATTTTTTTAGTGTGCATATTGTAAATACTCATTGGGCTTATCTTTTAGAATTGTTGTTTTATTCCCTTCCCCCACAGACAACGAATTGTAAATATGGGGACTAGTTAGTATTTTCATAGAGACAAAGTGGTATTATGGTGGTTGTAGTAAGAAAGGTACGAATGAATGTGTTGTTTTGGTGTAAGGAATATTGTTTCGTACGATTGGGTCAGTGCTTGCGGCTAGCTAAGTTATAGTTAAGACAAAAGAAGACCGTCCTTTCCCCAATCCCCTTTTCGGCCTTGTGCCACATTTCTGTATTGTACAGAATAAATATCACTTTCTTCTATGGTACCACAAACGCAATACTAGATTGGCGGGAAGGTCTCATCATTTAACAGTTGAAATGACTAGATGCGACCGTAAGTTCTATGCTTCTCGCTTGTGAAACTCTCTCCCGGTTTCTTGCTTCAGAGTCAAATTTGATTTTCAAAAATTTAAATTCAATGTCAATCGTTATCTTCTGTCTTCTTAATTTTTCTTCTTTTATTGTCCTCTCTCCTTAATAGTAGTTTTTCTCCTATTCTCTAACACTCAGTAACCCCTTGCGTCCTAGTGGCTTTATTACCTTTCGTTAGGGGAAGTCATTTTAAAAATGGATGGGCTTCCCAATCTATAAGCTGCTTCATGTATAGAGTTAGCCGTCATCTCTCTTTCATGACCTCATGAACGGCACGTCTTGCCTCTACCATGAGTGGCTCATGGGCCTTGTATTCGATGAACATTATGATTGTTTTTTTTTTTAATCACATACAATTCATCGGTCAACCACGCTTTTTAAACGCCTCTGTTACACACACACAAACACACGCGTACCTCTATAAGCATATATACGAACAATGAGTATGTATTAAGTTTACACAAAAACTGACCATGTCTCTCTCTCTCTCTCTCTTTCTCTTTCTCTTTGTAGTCACTGCTGGTGATGTTAACACCTCCACCATCCCCATTACCACCTCGGTACAATTAACACACTAACCGATTTTTTTTTCAGGAGGGGGAGCGCTGGAGAGAAAGGAAAGAACTAAAGACAAGATGAGAGAGAGCGAGTAAAATAAAATAATAAAAAGAC